CCTACAGAATATGATATGTATACACAAAGGAACACTATATAGTCTTTAAAAAAAAGCAAAAGTAACAAAAAAAATCTCTGTTACTTGTCGCAATATAGATGAATCTTAAGGGTTTCATGTTAAATGGAATAAACCTGTAATTGGGTGATAAATAACATACAACTTCACTTATGTGTGGGACCCACAAAATATTGATATTTTTGCCAATAGAATGCCAAATATCAGAGGATGGGATGGGATGGAGTATAATAAAAGGGAGACAGTGGTCACCAGGATGAAATTTCAGTTGGATGCAGGGAGTAAATTCTGGTTCCCCATGTTGTCAACAACAATGTTATCTATAATTCAGAGCTAAAATATCATGACTTAGATAAATCCAACCAAAGAAAAAATGTTAAATATCTGATGTGGTGAATAAATCCATTAACCATATTATTCCTTCCACAATCTATCCATATACTGAAACATCTCTTTGTACCCTATAAGTTCATACAGTCAGTATTAATTAGTTACACATAAAACTTAAAGAGTTATATGGAAAGAGGAACTTTCTGCCTGGGGAAGGACTAAGGCTTGATGCTGGCCAGTTGCCTTTTAAGGAAAGTTAGTGAAAATAGAGGGGTAAAAAGAAGCACCTCTTATCAGAAAGGAACAAAATCTCTATTTCTTAGTAGGTTGAACAAGTAATAATGATGACAAGCAAGGGGGCAGCCATTATAAGCATGCCACGTATCTTTATAAAGTTAATGTATGAAATAACACAAGGAATAGGTGCCATCATGATATGATCTCTCTTTTAAGGATAAGTCATTACTAGAGAAATGGTTCAGAGGGTAAAGGCACCTGAAACCAAGCCTGATGACCTGAGTTTGATCTTCAAAGCTCACGTGGCAGAAGGAGAGAACCAAATGCCACAAGTGGTCTGTCCTCTGGCACCCACAAAAGTGGCAACACACACACACACACACACACACACACACACACACACACGCAGCAAATAAGTGTAAAGACTATTTAATATAAGTTAACTGGTATGTACAATAATACTGTTAGGACTTCTTGTGTATGTATGTTTTTCTATCTGGAGGCACTGCAGACTGAGTTTTACTTCAAGGTGAAAGTATCCCACACAGCATATTACCTAGTAAATGTTATCCTCTCAAAAACGCACATCACCAACATCATTTATAACCTAAAACGGGGCTTCACCGGTTTATAATGTCACCAACGTCTAGAAATAAATGTGATCTTATATGCTCACACATCTCAATGTGCAGGCATAATTATGTGATTCAAAACATAATTAGCTTTTACTCTTAAAATACCATTAATGTATCATCTTGGATGCATTAATAAATAGGTTCTGTAAGTAAGAAGGAAGGTAAATGCATTTTAATCACATCAAATGTCTTAATTAACTCCTACTACTAATGATGCAACAATTAAGGTGTAAATGTGCCTGCTCAATTTCTCCTAGGTTGTACCACTGAGCATAACTGAAACACAAGGCAAGCAAGTGGAAGAATTTTAATCTTGATGAGAAAAACAAAGAGGAAAACTAAAGTTTTACATGGCACTTTTGTGGCATGTTTTGCTCACACATGCCTGTTGCCTGGAAATCACTCTCATGAACAATAAGACCATGACAACATGATGGTAACAAAGACTGCTGGACAGTGCTTGATGAAATGCATCAAACACCAAGGGCAAAGTCAAGCTTCCATGAACTGATAGCCTCCTTCAGCTTTGAGCCCACAATAGGGAAGTCATAACAATGCCCACTGGTCCACATGGACCTGATGAAGATCAGATCAAATAGAGAGATCGGGGTGGGAAGGTTAGTCACACTATACACTTCCTGCAGAGATGGTCTCTCTTTAAAAGAGGTCTGACTCCAAGAAGTGGAGTCAGGTTGCCCTTCTTTTGAATCAGAATGAGACTAAGTTTGCTTTAGATCGGAGAACACAACAGATGTGAAATCATGTCACTTTCAAGGCTCAGCTTTAATAGATTTGTAATGCTCACTTGTATCCTCCTGAGACCTAGACACCATATTTCTAGAAGCAGAGTATTTGGGAGGAGAATTGGGTTTCCAGTGAGTACCACCAGACTGAACCCCCAATCAACAGTCACCACCAAGAACAAGTCAAATGGGAAAGCCACCCAGGATTACAGTTCTAGGTAATCCCATGTGTGGACCAAAGCTCCCTAGCTAACCTCAATCAATATGCAGATGCTTGTGAGATAATGAGTTATAGTGGCTGTTTAAATAACTTAGAATTTAGGAAGTTCGTTATACAGCCAAAGATTTTATAGTCCTTCTTAGATACTTGAGTGAAAATCAGCTCCTGCCTACGTCAAGCCTCACTCATGAAAGACCCCAAAACATCAAGACAGGCTAGCAGAAGACTGAGAAGAACTTTCCAACATAGTGGTTAAGACCATGGACCCTGAAGCCAGATTGACTGAGTTCCAATCGAGATTTACTACTAGGAGAGACTGGCTGTGTTCCAGTTTCACATTGTGCAGGGTAGAGAGATAACAGTACTGCTCAGATTACTAATGTGTTACAAAGACTAAGTATCAGTATCCATGTGTATAAGGCATTTAGAACAGTGGCTGGCACAGACTAACTGCTCAGGAAATACTTCTGTTCAATATTATTGTTTATTCTCTATTCTGTTCTCATCCAGTGAACTGCCTGCTCATAACTGTAAGATGACCCTATGCCTAGAAATAGAGAGATAGACAGGGAAAGGAAGAGCCATACACACACTTTCTGTTTGATTCTGCCCTGGAGGAGGTAGCTTTATATCAGACCACAGGAACCTGGAAGTGGTAACTGACTGACATATAACTCCCATGGTCCTCAAGTTAAGATTCAGAGTGAACACACAGGCTGTGGGTCTTCCATTTATGGATGTTGAGCTGGGAACCAAACTCTAACCCTTCATCTGGCCATTAAAAATCTATTCTTTGGGGCTTCATGATCAACTCCAGTTAGGTGAGGGTAGCAAGCTCAGATTTGGAGTATAGCTCAGGATTAGAATATTTGCCTCATATGTGTGAGGGACAGAGTTCAATCCCTGGCACCCAAAAAATGAGCATCAGGCTTTGTATGTGTTAAGAGTAGTCTTGCAAAGTTCTTTCATCTCTGCATGATGCAACAATATACCAGCATAGCGTTCACATGAACCTCCTTTTAAACATCACTTTCCATCTCAGTGTAATAGTCATGTAATGTCACAGATCATATATATAAATGTATGTATATGTTTATATGTACATACAAGCTTTATATGTGTGTGTGTGTGTGTGTGTGTGTGTGTGTGTGTGTGTGTGTGTGTCAGAACAAAACTAATCTTAAATACATGTATAATGTTGGGTTAATTTGGGGGATTTTGAAAGGGAAGTGTTTGGGGAATCATTTTTGTTAAAATAATTATTGTATTTTTAATGAAGCAAAAAATGAATTCCTTTTGCTCTAGGATTATAATTACTATAAATAGTATTATTTGCCTCGACTTTTACCTCTGTTCAGTGTTCATAAAGAACCTATTGCTATGTACTGAAAAATTAATGTTCAATAGAAATGATGTATAGTAGCTGTCAAAGTTTCTTTTTTTTTAAATATCTAGCATCCACTGTAGCTCCACACATCATCTCACTAGGTTCACTATCTGGAGATAAGACTTCTATGTCTTACCTCGATTGTATTCTACTCATCACAGACACAACAATGTCAACCATGCCATGACCTTTGGACACAGCTCCAATATGACAGCATAAGTAGATCCATTAACTCATGCAGTCTGGAGTTCTGGGAAAGGTGTCAGGTGTGTGCATTGCCACACCTCTCATTAGATCAGCTTCCCCTTTCCAAGTAACTTGTAAGCCTGAGGTGGAGAAATTCCCCTTTTCATTTCATGAATGCTAATCAGGCCTTAAATGCAGCTCTCAGAGATTCAAATTAACTGCATAATAAACAAGGTACCAAATAAATACTAGGAAATTTAAATTATTACTGCAATAATAATTCACATTCTGGGTTCCTTCTGAAACACTACAGTGCCATGCATGCTATATACCTCAATGTAAATCTGATTTGGTGATGTAGATGGCAACAGGGGCTGCTGTGTTCCAACATGTTCCCCTCTCCACTTTCCCATTGCCTCTTTCCTGGCTACTGAATCTCCCTGCCAGATCTCTGCTACACATTTCCCCCACGTTTCTCTAGATATCATGCTCAACATTCTGCATTTATGACTCCATCACCTTACTCAAAGAAATTGAGTCATTTCCACCAAGAAAAATAAGGGGGTGGGGAGAAAGAAGTGTATTGGGGGGGACATTTGCTTGCCTAGGATACTGTGTCCCTGTGTTGTGATTTTTACACAAAAGTTTGAAACTATGTACAATCTCAGCAGCATCATTGAGAGCATCTGCAGGGAACATACCTGGCATTAACTAATGAATGCCACCAAGAATTAATATGGGCAAAATGTAACCCATATGAAACGGAAGCTTAAGGAGGAAGGATACTCAAGAGCTGAGCTAACAGGTTCACCTGGAAGTTTCTGCACTAGTAAGCTGCCACTTCATTTGCAAGATCTGCATTTCCATAAACTGGGCTCCACGCAGTTTAAATAAATGTAGAAATGTCTACTAGATAAGCAGTATAACATCTCTAATTAACAAAACAGACAAGAAGATTCTGTGACATTTTACCAACTTACTCTCTAAGAAACAGAACTGTCAATAATTTGATCAGTAAATAACAAATTATGAAGGAAAGCATTTGGTTAAAATATCCTTTGAATTTCTCAGATAGAATGTCATAGCTTTCTCTAAGTACATCTTACAAATTCTAAATCTTGGGCTTACTTCAACTTGCATTAAATATTCCCAAGTAGCATTAAGGGGATCACATAAGCAAAAATGAAAGTCAAGTGTACCCTTGTTAACAAAATTATTCCTGGAAAAGTAAGAGCTGTGTCTACCTGGCAAGGTTGCTTCATCTTAATGGCTGTGACATGGTATCTATAACAGCACAGTTCACAGGTCCAGGAGCCTCTCTCACTGATCCACTTTAGAAGACACAGCTGATGTGTGTACCGAACAGACCCATCACATCGGCAGGGATTTAACAACTCACCCTGAAAAGAAAACAGCTCACTGTGAATATTCCTGTTTCTGCCTCTGCTTAAAAAACCCTGAGCTCTCTTTCTTTCCCTTCTAAACTGTTTACCCAGAAGGAAACAAGCATCAAGCTCTATCCCAGAAAACCAAATTAAAATTTTATATGTCTGATGGGAATGATACTAAAGCCTTAAAAACTGTTTCCAAGATAGTGCTTAGAGTTATGACATAAATGTTCCATACAAAATGTCTGCAAGACATGGCCCCCAATACCCTTGGGAGAAAGCTCTACTATTAAATCTCTTTAATAACTTTTAAGTGGGTGGTCAGATGCATTTCCTCTGCAGTTCTTCTTAATCATTGCCGAAGAAGAAATGCATGGCAGAAAACAGCTCATAGTAGCATTATGCTTTTACTTTTTCTAAATGCAGCATCATAAATATTGACTCGGGGCATTATATTTCTGAAAGCCTCCATATTCTTATGCAACTTCCTTACTTTTAAAGACATTAAACCCAGTGTTTTCACACACTTTGGAGGGGCGATGCATTATCTTTTCCCTGCATGATGATTATCATGAAAGTTTGCATGTGCCTGTAATGGTGTTTATAATTTTTGAAATGGGTTTCTAACAAAGCCCAAGTACATCCATTGGCTAAAATAGCCTTTCTCTTAAAGTACTTCCTTTTGCAGAACTTCGGAGCCTTTTGCATTAATAATTTGCAATAAGGAAACACCCTCGTTTGTTATTGTAGCATGACTTACCCCCCCACCCCATCTGTAGTCTAAGACTAGGCTCTCTGGATATATTAATAGGAAACAAACTTCACCTTTGCATCCTATGGATTTGATTCCACTTGTAAGCTAAAATACTTTGAGTAATTCACAAGAAACGCTTGATAATGTTGCCATTATAGCACCTGAGGCGTAACCGACTGCAAAATCAGGTAGAGGGGAAAAGTGTAGGTTAAACTGACTTCGGTATTGGCCACCAGGACACTTTTTATGTGCCTTCACAGAAAGGGGACTGGAGTGCAAGGCGCCACTGCGAGGCGTGCGCTGTCCGCGGTGCTGAAAAGGCGCACCGCCTGCAGACCTGGCCTTACCTGCTCTGCGCCCTGGAAGCAGATCTTGCAAATGGGCTGATGGTGCTGGTGGTGATGGCCCGAGCGCTGGTCGCCTCCGCCTCCACTGCTACTGCTGCGGCTGCTGCACACGGAGCGTG